CCACATGCATCAAATCCCGCACCTCCTAAATAAATCTCACATATATGCCCCACCCTTTACACTCCCCTCACAGGTACACTGTCATCTCCTCTCCCCAACCCACGTTGGTGCTCCATGGTGTCACTGTCCTACTCAGAAGTTTTCAGGGATGCCTGTCATCCATTGGGTCAGATCTAAGTCAGTTTGCGTGTCCTACAGTCTGATCTCCCCTATCCAGCCTCAGTTTCCCTCCCACAGAATACCTGGGGCTCTAGCATAGTGAGCAGTATTGGATGTGCGGCTTCTTCCCCAAAGACTTGCTCACCTTTCACTCCTGCCTGGCGTTCCTCATGCCCTTTCCTCTGCCCGGAACCCCTTCCACTTCCTACTCATCCCCAGGCCCAGCTGAGAGGTGGCCTTCTCTGTAAAGCTCTTCTGCTCTCCCTCGGAAGAGCTTACACGGTCTCTCTCCTGTTCCTATTGCACTGGTCAGAAATCTCAGTGTGTTTTTTTAAGTATATCTTTATTGATTTCAGAGAGGAAGGGAGAGGGGGAGAGAGAGATAGAAACATCAATGATGAGAGTCATTGATCAGCTGCAGCCCGCAACCCGGGCACGTGCCCTGACCGGGAATCGAAGCCTGGTCGCCTGGATCCTAGGTCAATGCTCAGCCTCTGAGCCACGCCCGGCCGGGCTCAAATCTCAGTTTTAATAGTGTGTCTGGGCGCAGAGGACAGCATTTGAACACTGCGTGTCTTTTATCTCCCAGTGCCTGGCGTGTTGTAGGTGCTCAGGCATGTTTGTTAAGTAGAAGAATGGTTGACTGAATTGGGGGCCAAGGATCACTCCTCCTCAGCTCATAGGATGCGAAGGGGAGAACTGGAGAAGTGAAAGCGAGAATTAGAGCCGCCTCTTCCTCTCCCACAAGTTTTTAAAAGATATTTTCACACTCCCCAGGAATATGGCCCCCAGAACCCTCAGGCCAGGCCCACGGACTCCACTCTGTGTTCCAGCCCTTAAGACAGACCCAAGTGTATTTTATTTCTAGGTGGCTTCCCGGGAGGCTTGCAGAGGAGAAGCGAGGCAGGCCAGGGGCACGAACTGAAAGCCCTGGTCATGACTCTGCTCGCGGGGTTCACCCCGCCGGCCCGAGGGGTGCGCGCTGACTTACACTGATGAGAGAGGGGCTGTGAGTTCACCGCAAAGCCGGCTGTGCAGACACGTGCGTGTGCGGGATCAGGCCCTCATTTTCAGGCAATTCCCATCCTATTTCACGGGAAGGACTTTTTTTTATAGCCTGCAGCTCGCCTTAACCCTCTGAAAGCCCTGCTCGAGCGCAGACTGCCCAGCTGGACTCGGTTTCTCATTCCCGGGGCCGGGAGCGTGCAGATGACGCGGTCTCCGTCATAAGGCCCGGTGTCGCTTGCACTTCCCGCAGGGGCTCTTCTTGCCGAGAAGGGCTCCTCCCGGGGCTTTCGCAACCTGCCAGCCAGTTAGGTCAAGGGTGTGTCCTCGGTGGTTTTTATCACAGCGATGCTGGGAATGTGCGGATGCCAGGCTCCCACCAGTTCTGCCTTCAGCTTCCCCCCAGAGGCCCCAGCGGGGGTGGATCAGGCACCTCCCGCCTTTGACAGTGGCTGTGACAACCCTGTCATTACGGTCCCAGTGTTCTCCATCATTTGCCATGGTGTAGAGATGCATAGATTTATTTGTTCTTGACTTACAGTGACGGCTTCCTGCCTTTCTAAAAAAGAATCGGTTTCTTTTGAACAGGACATCAACTGTGACCTCCCTTTGTCACTCGCTAATCGTGAGTCCCATTCCCTGAGGTCTCGGGGCTCCGTGAGTTTCTGTTGAGTGTGCACACACGCACACACCCTCTTGCACACGGGGTTGGTTAAAGGGCTGGAGTTGTAACCCAGCCCTGACTCAACCCAAAGCCTTTGCATGTAATAGCAGCAAAAAGAGGAATACTTGAGAATTCATCGAACTCTATAAACATGAGGAACTGGTCAAAGGAAATTAAAATACCTCAGAGACTATTAAAGGCTCTGAGAGATCAACAGTTAGGAGCATTGTCTCATTTCTAATCCTGGCTAATTCCATGAGTGAGAAACAGTCTCTCGCTGTCAGTTTGATTTGCGTTTTTATTATTAGGGAATTCCGACATTTTCAAATGAACCACATATCTTTTCTGCCCTGTGGTTTTTGTTTTTTCCCCCCTGTTCACTTATGCTGACTTTACCACTGGGATATTAGAGCTTTTTATTGATGTATTAGAATTAATTATAAGTTAAGTGTATTATATTTTACGAAATTCCTAGCAGATGTTAAATCACCATTTTACTTTGCCTCTTGATTGTGTTTATGATGTGTGTTGATGTACAGACACTTTAACTTTTTCTATAATTAAACTTATCAATCTTTTTCTTTTCAGTTCTTTTTTTTGGGAAGGCGTTTATGCCCAGATCGATAAGATTGATCTTCCCTGTCCAGAGATGAGATAGTTGTACGCCTGGACTTTCATGTAGTTTTGTCATTTTTTTGTTGAATTCTGTCATACCTGAAACGTATATTGAGTAGATGGGAGGAGAAAAAGACTTTATTCAGCAGGCTGGAAACAGTCACAGTCACTTCACAAAAATCATGTCTTTTTTTAGTCAAAGAATCTTCAGTGATATTAGCTTGAAAATAAAATCTCATCTCTCATGGGCAGGGTATTTTGCTTTTCTTTCAGTATGAAGTAAGTTCTGTTAGTTACCTTTTAACTTACATATAAAGAGATGCTGTGTTGTCTAAGATTAGTTTTATCCCCTGTAGGATCAAGATAGTGTGAGCTGAGCTTGCATCTGCTCTGTCTTAAAGAAGAGAGGTATTTATTCCCTAGAGGAAGAGATACTATGATACTTAACTAACTCAATCAAGTTCAACTGATTTCCTCAGTCAAGCTTAACAGTGACTTTAACTTTAATAAGACTATTGCTTTTTTTTATTACTTTTAAAAAATTGTGATTATGACCCACATGCCATAAAATGTACCCTTTCAAAGCATACAGTTCAGTGGTCTTCAGTATATACATAAAGCTTGGTTGGCAACCATCGCCATTACCTGATTACAGAACATTTCCATCACTCCAAAAAGGAACCCCATAACCATATCAGTCACTCCCCATTCCTCCTTCCTCCCAGCCACTGGCAACCATTAACCTACCATCTTTCTCTTTGGATTTACCATTTTTTATATAAATGGAATCATACAATAAATGACCTTTGGTGTCTGTCTTCTTTTGCTTAGCATGTTTTCAAGGTTCATCCATGTTATAGCATATATCAGTCGTTCATTTTTAATAGCCAAATAATATTTCATTGTATGGCTCTACCACATTATGTGTGTCTTCTCATCAGTTGGTGGACATGTGTGTTATTTTTATTTTTTGCCTGTTGAGTAATGCTGATATAAACATTCATGATGTGGTTTTGTGTGGACCTGAGTTTTCGGTTCTCTGGGGTGTATACCTAGGAGTGGAGTTGATGGATCATAGGGTAACTCTTTGTTTAACTTTGAGGAGCTGCCAAACTGGTTAACAGTAGTACTAGTTTACAGTCCCACCGACAATGTGCGAGGGTTACAATTTCCCCACATCTTCACCTCCACTTAACGTGTTGCCATTCCTCTTTTTGGTTATAGCCATCCCGGGGCGTGTGAAGTGGTGTGTCCTTGTGGTACTGATTTGCATTTTTCTAATGACTAATGATAATGAATATCTGTTCATGTGCATATTAACCATTTAATTGTCTTCTTTGGAGAAATGGTTATTCATATCCTGGATTATTTGTTTTTATTGTTATAAGAGTTGTGTAGCCTTAGCCAGTTTGGCTCAGTGGCTAGAGCATCGGCCTGGAGACTGAAGGGTCCTGGGTTTGATTCCAGCCAAGGGCGTGTACCTTGGTTGCAGGCTCGATCCCCAACTCCGGTCGGGGTGGGTGCGGGAGGCAACCAATTGATGTGTCTCTCTCACATCGATGTTTCTCTCTCTCCCCCTCCCTTCCACTCTTTCTGAAAAGCAATGGAAAAAATATCCTCAAGTGAGGATTAAAAAAAAAAAAGTTGTACAAGTTCTTCATAGATTTTCATAAAAATTCATGGAGTCATCCACTTAAGGCCTGTGTGTATGTTTCCCATCTACCCAAAAGTTAAGGGAAAATATTATTCTGGAAGGATATATTCCAAACTTTCAACAGTGAGGGAGTAGAAGTAGAATTATAGGGGGAATCGGGATGGAAAATGTCACTATGTCTAACCTTTTTTGGGGTAAAATTTTTTTGCAATGATTGTGCATTAGCAGATAAAAAGGATTTCTGTTTTGGAAAAGCATTAAATGAATAACTAAGCACTGGGGGAGAGAGTGCATCTAATGGGCAATTTAGTGTTGAAAGAAGATGAAGATGGTGTGGGGGGTCTTTGGGACAGTGGATGGTTATGAGGGGCAGGGTAATTTCACACTACTGGGGAGGACTGTGGTTGTAGCCACTCCCTTCCCCACTGGGCATCATCCTGGAGCCTGGAGCTGGCTGTTTCCATTCAGGCCTCTTTCCTCAGCGCCTGGGGAAAATCACAATCCCAAACGTGGTAAAATCTAAAGTGATGGCCTGGATACATCCATTGCAGACAGGTTTGTTACCTGTGGGGTTGGGTCACCCAGAAGGCCTTGGCACACCCACACTCCAGTGTTTGTTCCTCCAGCGTGGGATGTGGCTCTAGGTGCAAGGCTGATGCAGGAGGTGCCACCCCCACCCCATTCTCTGGCTCCCTGTAGACCTCACCTAAGCCTCCCCTAGTCCCTGTCACCCCACCCAGTGGCCTGACCACACAAGCTGGTCTGCTCAGTGGGCCTGTGAAGCCTCTGTGATCACTTTTAATCTGTACATGAATGGACCAGCCTCTTCAGAGCAGGATTCCCACAGGAACTGGTAGGTGAGATTGTTTTTCATATATTTTTTTGTTTTTGTTTTGTTTTCAGAGACGAGGGCCCGCGTTTGAGTCCGCGCACTTGCCTGCGCTCACCACCTCACTGATGCGCCCTGGCTTTTGCTCTTACCCCCGGTCTGCTTTCATCATTGCCTGAACGCCACGCGGTTTCCAGAGAAGGCACAAAATAACTGGTGAGCAGAGCTGCTGCGCGCAGAGTCCCTTTTGTTGGTATATAATTGCCTAAATACTTGTGAAGGAAATAAAATAAAGGCAAAGGTGGGGAGGACCTCCTTTTTTGTGGCAGAGAGATTAATGCTTTGGAGCTCGCCTGGCGCTTTGATGAGCTACATTCATTTTACCAGCCAGGCTTTGAAGTGGGGTCTATTGTCTGCGTCTTGCAGATGAGGAAATGGGAACTCAGGAGGTTCAGTCATCCGCTCAAAGGCACAAAACCAGTTCTGTGATGGAGCCAGACAGGCCTCCTGGCTCCTGGCCTAATGCTTTTCCTCTACAGTGACCCACTGGACCTGCTCAGAGTCAGCTATGTCACAAGCGAATTGTTTGACTAGAGAAAGCCCTGCCAGTCTTCTCTTTCTAGCGTCACCTGGGAGACCTAGTTCAGCCCTCGGCCCTGGCTTGTCTCCTGGCCTCCGCTTGTGCCTCTGCACCCACATCCCCCAGCCCCCCCTACTTCTGCTGTGATGTGGTTGGCAGGGCCCTTCCCTTCCCACTCAGCAGGAAGAATCATGTAGTAGTCCAGTGGGCGTGTATCATTTCCATAACCAAGGGGGTAAAAATGTTAAATGCTAACATTTCAGTAGCAACAGTTTCAACCTCAAGTTTTGTAAACAAAGGAACTGAAACTCGGAAATTCCCTGGGTCCAAAGTTACATGATGTGTTCCCAGTGGAGCCAGCCAAGGCCAGGTCTCAGGGCCCCCGTCCCTGTGACTCTCCCCCGGGTGCGGGACCTGGTAGGAGAGTGGTCGAGCTCATCGGCACTTCCTTAGGCAGGAGCTTGGGGTGTGTTGGTGTTCTGTCCTTCATAAGATGCCTGGCTTTCTTCAGTGCGACCATATGTAGGCAGCACCTAGGAAGACAAAAACTGAAACAAAGAGACACTCTGGTTTGCTTTTAATATACAAATACAGGTTGTCATTTTCTTTCCATAGAGAGCCCTTCCGACAGTTTATAGGACTGTTTTATAACTGTTGACACAGCTCATTCAGAGGTTCCTTTCAGAGAGTTAAGTTGCCATGTCCCTTGGTCCGACCCCAAAACACCTCTGATAATTAAGGAGATGTCTTTATATGTCCAATCACGCCCTGAATTGCTGGGAGAGCATTTTCGTCCGGGGTGGATAGTGAGCGATTAAGCCTCAGATTCATAGAGTTGTATTCCCTGGGGCCCAGCAGAGCCTTTTCTGAGCAGGTTTCATGAGTCTTCTCATGGGCACCTCACTGTGCCTGGGGTTGTCCAAAGCATTTGATCAACAGATGTCTTTACTTTCTAGGAACTCACATTTAAAATCTGAAAACTTTAAGTTAAGGTGCTTTGTTGTTGAGACTTGAAACGAAAGTCTTATTCAGGAGAGTTCCTATCATCTCCAACATGGGACTTCCGAACCACCTTCTTTCTTCTTTGGCTCCTCTCCTGCTCTAACAGGCGCCTGCGCCGCAGGGAGCACTTGATCAAATGGGCCACATTCGGCCCTTGATATGCACCGTACCCTGCAGGGACTTTTTCAGGGGGGCTTTATTATGGTTTCTAGGCATTGCTGCCTTGAACACGAGTTGGCTTTGTCCTTTTGGTTCTGCCGAAGTGAATGGAATCCATACCTGCACCTGCAGTTGGGAGGAACAGACGTGGCCTCAAAGGCTTTGCCACCTCACGGAATAGAAAGTCCACTGTTGAAATGGTGCTTTGAACCATAAAGGCAGGGCCTCGGCTTTCTCTGCTGCTAAGTGTTTGTATTTACTTTGGAAGATGATCTAGGTGACCTCATTGCAAAGGGGCCTGTTGTGTGGTGAAGGTGACCTTTTCAAAGATCCAAAGCTTTGAGAGCCTCCCGCAGTCGAGAATCGGGGAGAGGCTTTGGACTCAATATAGAAAGCAGGGGGGCCAGTGACGGGAATGTATGGAGCTCAGCTGGTGTTTATGAGGAGCTTCTCTGTCCCTTCTGCATGTGGGGTCCTGTAAGGGATGTCTGTCCATTCTCCAGTATGGTTGCTGTGGTGTAAGTGCTCCATGGTTGAGAAGGGAATCGGGCAGAAGCAGGATGGACGGAGCACAGAGTGCTTGAGAAAGATTTCTGAAAGGATGGGGGCTTCAGAAAGCCCTTGCCCGGCGAGGTTCAGAAAAGCAGGAAGGCGTGGCGGGGGTGCAAGAAAGGATGGCCCAGGGCTCCTGAGGTCCCTGATGCAGGTGCATGGAGAACGGTCTGCACAGTCCTGGAAGGTGGCCCTGCTGTCCTGGCCAGTTTTAATATTTGGTTCCGAAACTCTGCAACCTGGAAAAGGAATGAGTGCACCAGTCAGCCAGTTGTCTTCAGACCAGTCAGGGCTGCCTGTGGGAAGGGTGAAGGGGCCCAGCTGAGGACCTTACACTCACCCCCTTTGGTCAAGGCCACTCTGCCCTTTTCTGATGAACTTCCACCTAGGATTTCACTTAAAGGAAAGGATTCTAAAGCAGATTTTAAAAGTTGGCATCCACCAATCCAGTCTGTTCACCCCATGTTAAATGCAGGGAAACTGAGGTTCAGAGGAGCACGTCAACTACTTTTTAGATTATACAGCTAGTCAGAGACAGAGCTTCTGGATTGTATGGCTAGTCAAAGACAGCCTCTGTGATGGCTGATCCAGTAATCCCTATACTATCACACCCACCCACATGTTCAAAAATAAAATGTCAAACACCACCGAAGAACAGGGTTACTTTTTCTAAGAGTCTTTTGGGAAGGACTAATGTTAGAGGTAAATTATTCAGACAAAATAACTTTCAGTGCTCAAAATGTTTTAAAATAAAAGATGTTGACTTTATAAAGAATACATTTTATAGTTCTATAAAACATGCAATGCCATGGCCCATGAGCTACTTATAACTTTTAATACAACATGATTGAGGTATATTAACAAGATTCAGGGTACAAATAGCTTAAATAGGGATGCCAAGAGAATAAACTCTTAGTTTCCTGATTGTCAGTGGTATTTAAATCCTCAAGTATGTCCAACTCCAATGCCACTGTAAGTTAAGCGAGAATAACTCTGGAAACCATGTCACTGGAGTGTTTTTCCAGCTTGGCGGTGAGATTGGAAACAGTTCGTAATTGTAAACTGTACTGGTGGGAGCTGCCCATTAAACACTTCATTGTCTCTGATATTTCAAGGATTAAAAAAAAAAATCACTCGCCTCTGAATCTGGGACCAATTATTCTACCAAGACACAAGCTAAAGGATCAAAGCCCCATGGCATTTCATTGAAACCAGTAGAATATACACTTGATAAAAAATAGTTTCACTTCTAAAATTTTTTCTCTTGCCAATGGCATGTAACTATTACTTTCAATATTAGCCTGTCATAATTACAAAAAGGTATCTTGGCGTCTCAAGGTTATGCCTATTGCAGGGGCCACAAACTCAAAAACCAGACAATCGTGTAAAACAGGTGTGTGACTAGTGTGTGACGACTGGGAGTGGTGGGGACTGTGGCCAACTAGAGAGCACCTCTTTTGGTGGGGGGGTGGGCACCTGCTATTCCATCCCTCTGACTGTTGTCACGTGGTAATGCAGCACCTGTTTTCCCAGCCCTTACAGTTTTTCAAAAGATGCCAGAAATTCAGATTTCTAAGTGGTATGTCTTGATTTTTAAACATTGGCAACTTTTCAGTTTGTCTTTTTTTTTGTTTTTGTTTTTTCTGTTTTGTGATACTGGGTAGACAAAACATTCTTTTATTGCCAAACAGAACAATGCCATGGCTGAATGGCTGAAGATGTTCTTAAGAGATGATCATCGGTTCCTCTTTTTCTAGGTGCTAGGTAAGTGAGTGTACTAACTTTTTAAAAATACATCAGGCTGTTTCTGTATAATTTGTGTATTTTTCTATATGTGTGTTATATTTCAATAAAAAGCTGACTTAAAAAGAACCAGAGATACGTATCAGATCTTGTCAATAAGTGACAATCCTCTTTCCACTGGAGAGGGTTAAAAACAGGACAGCAGGCTGAAAATGGAGTCTCTTCTGCTAATCCCCATGTGGACAAACCGAGATTTAATGTAATTACAGTTTCAGCACTTTCAGAAATGGAATCTTAAACCGGTCGATCAGGAATCGCCTGATCAGCGCTAGTTAGGGAATCTGCCTGGGAGGCCCCTGCACCCCCTATAGGAAAGTACAGCCATATCCTCCCTGCCTTATCCAAGGCTTCAGTTACCCACAGTAAACCGTGGCCCGAAAACATTACATGGAAAGTTCCTGGAATAAACAATTCATCAGTTTTGAGTAGGACACCGTGCTGAGTAGGTGATGAAATCTCACGCCTTCCTGCTCCATCCCACCGGGACGTGAATCATGCCTATGTCCTGCATTCACGCTGTATAAAGGCCCCATCTGGTAGTCACTTAGGAGCCGTCTGGGTTGTCATTGACCGCCGTGGTATTGCACTGCTTGTGTTCAAGTCACCCCTGTTTTACTTAATAATGGCCCCAAAGCACAAGAGTAGTGATGCTCGCAGTTCAGACATGCCAAAGAGAAGCCGTGGAGTACTTTCTTTAAGTGAAAAGCTACGTGTGTGTAGGAAAAAACATTACATACAGGCTTGGTACCATCGTTGGTTTCAGGCTCCCACTGGGGGTCTTGGAACGTTTCCCCTGTGGATAAGGGGAGACTCCTGTAATCTGACTTCTCCTCAAGCATCTGTAACTTCTGTCTTACTGTCCTTTTGTCCCGCACAATGGCCACTACCTTTGGGAGAATTCTACAGGGACAAAAGCCAAGCTCCTGGTTAATTTGGGGAGTTGTAAGGGCAAAGAGTTCACTGGATATCAAACTGTATTAAAACTGCATATGCTTAAGCCACTAGATTCTGCCAATTAAAAAAACTTGTGGGTCTCTCTGAGCTCATCTTGTCTGCAGAATGAACAGGTATTTTGTCGTTTAAATATAGATGATCAGAAAAGGACTTTCCCTCTGGATTG